TTTTGTAGAACGTTCAATTTTCTTCAAAAATATATAGAGTTCATTCCAATATGTTCACTCAAAAACGGGTTATAAAATTTCAAAGTTAAGAAAAAAAAATTCCTGTGTTATTTAAACGTAAAATAGAAATTCACGATGAGCGACCTCTAAATATTAATATTAAAGCTTAATTTTCATGTATCCGTTTGTCCGTCATCCGTATGTCAGTTTTTCAATAAAATCGTCCGATAAGAAATGTTCTAATTTTCATGCATACGTTTTTTAATGACGTTTAACGGATTGATTTTTTGACAAAAAGAAATTAAGAGTGAGTATATTCACTTACTAAATTTACCTAATGCTTAATTGTCATAGTAAAGGTAGGTAAATATATATATATATATACCTTATAAAAAGAATATATACCTTATAAAAAGAATATACTAGCCCTAATATACATTAAAATATATAATTTTAAAAAAGCAGGTCTAGTTTTAATTTTTTTTTGTTTGTCCTTTCTTTTTTTCCGTTATTCTTATTAAATAAAAACTTAACAGTAGAACATTATTCACATAACGAACGTAATATTTTCGTTTTACAATCTTATTGAAAAAATATAAAAATATTTGAAAATAAATTATCTTAAAATAACGTTAGGCGTCAAAAACAGATGTTTAGTGACGGATGAGTTAAAATTATTTAACCTCTCTCTGTCAGACGTACGAAGTTGAAACTTGACGGACCGATAAAATGTCATAATTTTCGAATTATAATTGGACCAATAAGAGCGCTCCCGGATGAACGGACTGACGGACAAACGGATACATGAAAATTAAGCTTTAGAGCTACAATTTTCACAGGCTTCTTTTTTTACTACTAGGAAGATATTTTAATGCGGGCTTTGAAGAAAAAAAAATATTCGTTTTTTTTTAACCAGTCTAATATATATATATATATATATACATTATTTACTTAATTCAAAAGCGTCTAAGTATCAAAACTAATTTGTTGAGAAATTAAAGAAAAACATCTTATACCTTGCACCATGGTGGAGATAGATAGCATGCCCGATGGATGAACAAAGCTATATACTCTCTAAAGATTTTCTTATTTCGGGATCAATTTAAACTTACTAACAATGAAAATAAGTCATTGCGTAGAATTTTTATTTTTATTATTTCGTTTACATATTTGCCTGGTTTCAAGCTCCAAATGCAACTTGCGCGCCCAAAAATGATTTGAAAACACATGAACTTCATGTTTACAAAAATATAGATTTGCAAATAGAAGAGCTAATTTGTTTGGCATTTTTTGATAAAAGAGTACCTACTAAAACAAAAGAAAAATGGTTAAAAAAATTAACATTAGAAACAATCATTGCAAAGAAAAAGATGTAGAGCAGTGGATTTTTTTTATTTTAATTTTAAAAAGGACATAAATTAATAACTACTTAGTGTAATTAATTAAATATGGTATCAAAAATAAAGAAATTTTATAAAAATACGTCATAATTAATAAAACGGATATAAATTATTTATAAAATCGTATGAAAATGGGAAAAATTTGAATAACTTAATTATTATTAGGTTATGTTTTATATAAATCAAATAAAATATTTCTTTCGGCAGGTTTTATGTATGCTAAATAATTTAAGTGTTATTTTCTTAATTTATTTACGGTACCATCATAGTGCGATTCCAATTGTTGCTTATTTTATAAGATGATACGTTTTTAATGACAAATTATTTTTTTTTTTTCATGAAAAAATTTTTTTTCCCGTAAAGTTCAATTCACTGCCTCAGAGGGTATTAAAAAACTAGGTAACCCTTAAATTTTTAATAATATCGAATAAAAACTAACGGAGTTATTTACTATTTTGCGCAGTAATAATTTCGCGGCTCGAATGTGCAAAAATACGAAAATCGATTTGAGCGACCTCTAAATATTCATCGAATTTGGATTTTTTGATATTAATCTTTTAGTTTTAATGTAATCTTTATAATTTAGGCCAGTGCGGGTTCATTTTTAAAAAAAGGCTTTTTTTGAATCACCCTAATATACAGGGTGTTTCATAATATATGCGCAGGACTTCAGGATGTGATAGCTCATCCAAAATGATGAAAAAAGTCGCTATTAACTTACTCTCTAAAATGCACAATTTTCGAGATAAAGGGTGTTGAAATTTTAGAAAAAAAATAATAATAATAATTGGTGGATATTTTGAAGGGGTAGCGGGTGTTTTTCTCCTCAACTTCAACGCCCCTGAAAAAAGTACGGTTTTGAGAGGCCCATTCGAACCGCCAATGTTTTCTACAGAAAAAAGGTACTCCTGGTCATAAGCTCTAAAGTTGACCGTTTTCTAGAAAAATAAACTTTTATGTTTAAAAACATGGTCAATTTTTTGAAAAAAAAGTTTTATTTCTAATTAAACAAAATTCATTTTAACGTTAGAAAAAGTAACAAAACCAAACGATAATTGCAAAATTAAAAAAAAACAAACAAAAAAACACCCTGTATATATATATATATTAGGGTGTTCCTTATTTAGGGGTCGGAAAAAATTTAACAGAGCCGCCCCCCAAATCGGTTCCAAATCATAAAAAAAAAATTCCTGCAAAATTTTAGGTCATTCGGTCAAAGGGAACACGTGCCCCACAGGGGTTTTTTAAGAAATAATTGAGAAAATTCGGAAGGCTGATATAACTCCGAAACGGTCCATCGTAGGAAAAAAAAGTGTATATAAATTTTATGTGTTTTTTTTAGATAAACAACTTTCGTAATAACAGTCCTGCGTTAAAAAAATTTATTCGGGGTCAAAACGCGATAAAACGCTTTTTTGTGTACTTTAGCGCTACCTACTTTTTCAATTTTCTGTCCTAGAGCATCGACCCAATGACATAAATTGTAGGGGACAACGCACCCTACATTTTTTGTTGACAAAATTTTTTTCTTAAACTAACCGATTTTGAAAAAAATTAAATCCAAAACTTTTTGAGTTTTCACTAAAAACACGTTGTGCTCCGAAACTACGAAACGGTTTATCGTAGGGAAAAAGTTAAAATATATTTTGTAGTTTTTTTCAAGCTATTTGGGGGGCGGCTCTGTTAAATTTTTTCCGACCCCTAAATAAGGAACACCCTAATATATATATATATATATATATATATATATATATATATATACTTTCTGCGCACACCTTAAATCCACTGATACCCACTGCGCATAGAAACAACCACCTGGTACCCACTGCGCATAGATACAACCATCTGGTACACACTGCGAAATAACATAATTATCTAGTACCTACCTAATGCGCATATATAATAATTAGTTAAAATTTAAATATGTAAAGTATACTTTTTTATCATGTGCGGTCTAATGTAGCAGTGTAATGAATTTCATTCAATGGAATGCAGAATTTTATTGAATGAAATTCACAATTTTATTGAATGGAATGCACAATTCCATTGAATGGAATTTACAATTCCATTGAATAAAATTTGATTATAAATGCAACTCGGAATTTCAATTAATGGATTGCACAATTTCAATTAATGGAATTAAACTTGCTTATTTTTAATGAACCAAACACGCGAACACAATTTTTATTTTTTATTCATTAAAATTTAAAATGATTAATTTTTTTATCTAAAATTACTGTTGCTAAGCTTCGGGCCGCATGCGGCAAATCGCGTCATATTACAGAAAAAATATTGCGCTACTTTATCTCACAAGACTGTGTAAGAAAAAGTGTTCTACATTATGTGGGCATTTTTTTATTTAAAAATTACTGTGGCTAGGCTTTGGGCCGCATGCGGCAGTTTGAGTATGGCAGCCATATATGATCTAAGATTTAAACCAATATTTTAACTAATTCTTGCTATTATGCTATGATGATCTATATTTTTTTTTAAATATTTTGCTGTCGGTAATTAACAAGTGTTTATTGTTTTATTAAAAGTTGTTTCAATATAGTTTTACAATATGACTTTTATAATTTTAAATTTAAATTTTTTATTTAACTTTCTATTGAAATTTACAACAAAAATAAGGGTCACCTTGATAAGGCATATATAAATGCCACTAAGTGTTTAATGTTTAGATTAAAAATACTAAGGCTGTTAATTATGAATAATTCGAGTACCTACTCAAATAGATGTGGGAATCGATTGAAAATAATTCAAATACTCTAGTAGAAGTCATTGTAACATGAGTTTTTTATACTATTTTGTCTATTCCGAGCATAAGTAATCAATAAAATAAAATAAATCTAAAAAAACAAGTAGTTTAATTCATGTACTAGACGAGATTATTAATATTATTATCATTATCATTATTAATATTATTAATATTCATTTATTATAATAATATTAAATATTTATGGGGAGGTACTGCCTTCCCTGACAGACCGCCAATGTATTTTAGCTTTTTTATATTGCATATCCGATCTTTTTTTAAATTTATTTTTAAACTAATGTAAAGGGTGTCACGCTATACCACGCGTACAGTTATGTAGTTTAATCAAATAGTTTTAAAATTAGTTTTTTTCTTTTTGTTACCCAGTATTGTATGTTTCTAACTTTATATTTATTGCCTGGTTTTGTAACATTACATTTTAACTGTAAATTATTGGGAGCAATAAATAATAATATTATTATTATTTATATTAATTTTTTAAGAATATTTATATAAAAGAATTGAACACAATTTCCAAATGAGGTTTTAACAAATAAAATGTTAAAATTTGTTAATAATAACAAAGTAATTATGATTTAAAGTTTTGAGTTTTTGACACAAACAGAAAATAAATTTTCTAGCCATGTTAATTGTTTTTAGATTCAGGATTCAGCGTATCCGAATTTTTAGACTTAAATGCCTAATAACTCGAAAAATAGCAGCTGCTTCTTGGATTTTTTGTATTTTAAAATAACCTTCCTATTGTGTAGTATGCCATTAGTGCGCCATTTTCGGACACCCTGTATGAAACACATTTTTAATTAAAATTTTACCTTATTTTTAAGGTCGACATAATTGTTAAAACTTTGGATTTCAAGAAGTTATTAACATTAAGTGATTTGGAAACACTATTATGGACGATACAAACATCTTTAGCCAGCCATGATAAAAATCCAATTGATAACCTTAAAACATTTATTATTCCAAGTGACGTGCCCCAAAAAAATGATATTTATCATCATCTTGTAAGTTTTATTTTTTATAATTTCTGAACAATAAATTTATTTTACTAATTTTACATATAACCTACAATCAAACATAATATTATTATAAGACTTGATCTTGACTGGGACAAACTTTTGATCAACAATATTCGGTTAACCAAACTTGACCCGGGAGATCGCGCCTTAACCGTTTGGCTGTACATTGACTATAAAATATTATTGCGCAATTTAAAAAAATACTATAAGGATCATCTTGGATTGCCAACATTTTTTCGGCTTATAGTATTTCTCAGAGTAAGCTATATGAAATATAGTACCTAGTATGTAGTAAAATCAAAAAAAGACAAAGCTATGTTAATATTGTTATTTCAGAGTAAGGTTCGTCAATTTTGATACTCATTTTTTTTTAAAGCGATCTAACGTAGAAGTTTTCTTGCAAAGCTCCGTAAAGTCCCGGAACATGAGATTATTTTGAAAACGGTATTTTTTTTTAAACGCTGAAACAGGTCAACTTTGTTATTTTTCTAGCAGTATTTTAGCCTATGTAGTTGTTCCAAAATCTGCCGCGTGGCGGCGCCCCAATCGTAAGGTTTAAATAATAAACCCTTTATTTTTGTTGCATTTTTGGATAGCTACCGTTGTCTTGAGTACATTGATATGCTACATGTGGAGGGTTACATTAGAAATTTCGCTGTTACGGGGCACCACCACACTATGCATTGCTACTAAGGGAAATCAGGTCTTCCCCAATCGCTGGATAGGTCGAAGGGGTCAAATCGTGTGGCCAATTTAACCCCTTTAGACTTCTTTTTATGGAGACATCTTAAAAACCGCGTCTATATAAATAGGCTTCAAAATTTGGACGACCTAAGACATCGCATTCAAGCCGAGATCCAGATGATCTCTCCAGCGGTACTGGCAAACGTACAACGCTCGTTTGTGGACAGGCTGGCCCACTTCCAAATAGTTTACGGTGGACACTTTAACCAACTGCTCTGAATGGCTACCCAAAAAACAAAAAAAAGGAACGCATAGATTGTGTTTAAGTTTGACAAAATACCAAAATATCATTCGGCGGAAAAAACCTGCTTTTCTAAAAAATCTCCAGATGTGGCACATCAATGTAATCAGGACCTCGGTAGCTGGTCAATTCTCATATAACTTGTTCCGATGCTGTATCCACTTATTTTTGTGAAAACTAATTCTCGCTCAAGGTTTTTTTTAGTGTAATAAGCATGTAGCATTTCAAGGTAATGGGAACTTAAATTATGACAATCCTAATCTATTAATTTTTTCCTAAAATGCAGGCTTTATGTTGCAAATGTCACGTAAGTTACCGGTCACCAACTGCAATATCCTAACATCGATGCATATTTCAACAAAATGGCCGTTCAAACAACTAATGTTAGTGCTTGATTAACTAAAAATAGACTTAAGATTGACAAAAAATTATTTTATCCGAAATCGGCAGTAAAGTAGTCAACAATCGTAAATTAAAATAAATCGGCAGTAAAGTTCTACTTTACTGCCGATTTCGGATAAAATAATTTTTCGTCAATCTTAAGTCTATTTTTAGTTAATCAAGCACTAACATTAGTTGTTTCAACAGCCATTTTGTTAAAATATTCATCAATGTTAGTATATTGCAGTTGGTGACCGGTAGCTTACGTGACATTTGCAACATAAAGCCTGCATTTTAGGAAAAAATTAATAGATTAGGGTTGTCATAATTTAAGTTCCCATTACCTTAAAATGCTACATGCTCATTACACTAAAAAAAACCTTGAGCGAGAATTAGTTTTCACAAAAATAAGTGGATACAGCATCGAAACAAGTTATATGAGAATTTACCAGCTATCCAAAAATGAAACAAAAATAAAGGGTTGTAATTTAAAAAAAACTTACTTTGATTGTGGCGCCGCCACGCGGCAGATTTTGTAACAACTACATAGGCTAAAATATTGCTAGAATAATAACAACGTTGCCGTGTTTCAGCGTTTTTTTGAAAAATTTACTGTTTTTTTAAATAGTCTCATGTTCCGGGACTTTACGGACTCACTGTATATACAGGGTGTTGCAAAATCACCAGACCAAACGAAAGGGGTCGATTTTTTGCGAAAATCTTGGACAACATTTCTTTTACCTTTTTTTTCAAACTCGTAAAATTGCAGAAGTTTTTTAATTTTTAGGGCCGCCAATGAGGTAGCACCAAAAAATTGGCGCCCAAAGGGTAAAGTTTAATTCAATTTTTTTTTAATCGCAAAATTGCAGAATTTATTTAATTTTTTAAGCCGCCAGAGCATTGTTTGTTTTTGTTTACTTTTTCCCAATAATAGAATATCAGCATCTTTTGCAAACACAAAAAAAATTAACAAAAACTCGTCCAAAAAAGCAGGAGCACTGCCCTACCATTAGTGACTTTAAAAATGAAATAATTCCTGCAATTTTGCGAATTCGAAAAAAATGGTAATTTCGTCTTGGATTTTCGCAAGGAATCGACCACTTTTGTTTGATGCGGTGATTTTGGTATACCCTGTATGTTTTGTTGTCTTTTGCTGTTTTTGCTGGGTGCTAGTGGAGCACTTAAACTTGATGCACTTTAGTAATTGCTTTTCATAACTAATTTATTTAGGACTTAAACTTCTCAGAAGAAAACAACTTTCGATTGAAAATAATTAACAAAATCCCAAAACAAAAACGAAGCAGTGACGGTTGCAAGAGCAAACATTTGTTTGGCGTTTTGTCATTCACATAATAGTTTAAAACGATACAAGACAGAGGTGCATCACATCAGTCGAATGGTAATGAAAATTTAGATAAGCTGAGCACAATGGTTGGTTATATTCGTTTTTCTGAATTAGCTCAGATAAAAAAGATTTTCGGCTGTAAAGTTTTTTCCACAGGTCGAATAATTCAAGATCTTTTTCACTTTTTGAACTTTTCATTTATAAATATATTTTGGGATTTTTAACGATATTTAAAAAAAAATCATCTTTTTCCATTTCACAGCGCAGCGTTTCCAACTGTGGCCAAATATGGCCACGTAGACAAGAGATTTTAGTTTATAGTACAACTGTTGCACCTTATAAAATAAGGCTTATGGCGAAGCCAAATTGTATATCCTCAAAGTTGGAAATCAAGTATGTTTGTATCAAATGTGTGTGCTAGTTAAATTCTATTTGAAAATACAGTATACTGCTCATAGCAGACACCGGTATAAAGGACAACCTTCTATAACGGACTTATATAGTGGTCCGCTCAAACGTTTATGAGTGGTCAATAGTTATAAGAGACCCGATGATATCTTTATAACAGACACATCGGATATAACAGACAATTTTTTATGATCCGGACCGGTTATAATTGAATATAACGGACTCAAAGTACAGGTGTAGGTACAAATCCGCAGAATATAAGATGTCCCTCTCTTGTAGAAGATAGTATATTTAATCTTTGCTGTGACAGTAGAGAGGTGCAATTCGTTGCAATTTTAATATGAGTGAAAATAAAAGTGAATCATTGTTACCCTATCGGAAATTTAATAACTTTTGCTGTTTGTGAAAAATGTACTATTATGTCTAGTAGATCTAGATTACGAAGAATGGTAATGACATTACTTTGGCCTAGAAATGTTTCATGATATGGATTGGGCACTGTCTTTCATCTGTACGAAATCGATTTTGTATTGATAGTAAAGCTTAAAGTCTTTTCGTATCCCGATGATGTGGACGGATCCACAAAAACAGCCGAATGAATGTTTTGCGTGCTAGAAGTTGTTTTTAAAATGAACCTAATCTATTATCATACTTGAAAATAAAATGCTTTTCTGAGTTGCCGTTGCTACATGATTCAGACGCTATACCATATCCAATAAGACTATAGGCTTATAAGCCTAACGAAAGTTACAAAACTCAAAACCGTAGTTTTTCAGAATGGCGATTTTAAAATTTACTTTACATTTGTAAGTTATAATTATTATAGGTCCAAAATACCAGAATGTAATTTTATATTCAATTTTTCATTTCATAAACTCTATAGGGTGTTAAAAAAAGAGGGTCGAAAAATGTTCCAGGCAGTAGAACTTCTTAAAACATTTAAAAAAAGTTTTATAAAAAGTCAGCTAAAGCACCTTTAAATCCCGTCCCTTAAAATGTTTTTCTAAATATTTCCGAAACCCGAGGAAATATATAATAAAAATATTAATAATAAACGAATTTATTGAAATAAAAAATTATCATATTCCAAAAGGTTGAATTTGAATTTAAACATTAAAAATGTAACAATTAATTCTTACATTCAACCAAAAAATGCCAGCTATACCGGCTACAATATTATTAAAATAATAGCTATATATAACAACAACAACAAAAAAACAATTATGCTTAAGTAGAAATACCAAGTTTACAATAACTTAAAAATATACCCAAATAGACATTAAATAAATTTTAAGAGTGTCATTGCTGCTCCATAAATAGAATATCAAAAACTTTGGTTTCAAACAAGCGCTGTGACTATTTCAACATATCACACATTAAATTAAGTGGCAAGCTATTAACGTAGCTAGGAAGGATATAAGAAAAAGACCTTTTATATAATTCAGTACTGTTATGGCGTTTTAAAATATAATATTTATATTATGAATATCAGAATGATATTATCAGTACAGTACGAAACTTTTCGATGTAAGTAGCCTGGTGCCTTAGTTTTAAGAAGGTTTTGAAAGAAACAAATTAAATGCATTTTGCGCCTGTTTTCCATATTTAACCACTTTACACCATATTTATTGGGGTTTAACTAATTCTATCATACCTACTTCCTTATGCCAAATATTAATCGAAGACAGCAATTTTGCAACTTTTGGATTCGGAAAGCATTGTATTTTGTAAGACATGGACCATAGACAGTATAACAATAATTTAATAAGGATAAAACCAAACTATTACATAACATTGACTTGGATTTTAAATTTAACAAATGTCTGACATGGTAAATTTGCTTTAAGTTAAAGTACACCGCTTTTA